TTACGGTTCGAGCAGGAACAATCTCACTCACTTCTTTCTCGTAAGTTACAACAACATATTCTTCTTGCAATCGATCCACATTATATTCTCTTAACTCCATTTGTGCGTTATGGTTAACCCAGAGAATATTTTCTTCTGATTCGAATAACTGTTCTACTTTTTCATCAATATTCTTTTCTTCTTGTTCCAAGATGAGCTTCGCATCGAAACCAAGCAGGTGTGATATAGCATCTAATAAGCTTTTATCTTGCTCTGGAAATGGTTCGACATTTGACCATTCAACCACTTCCATAGACCAACCATAATCCTTTTCAAGTTCAAGTACATTTTGTTTTATTTTTTCCAATTTTTTTTTCTTTTTCACACACTGACAGTTTATCACTTTGTGTGAGTAAAACAAGTGAATTTCGCTCAACTTGTTCTTCCGTAAATAGTTGACCGAGAAAATGAGCAAATCTCCGATAAAAATTCGTTTTTGTGTCAGACATATTGATAACAAATATGATGCATTTCACCGTTGTTATTTCATCTTCCAAGAAATATAATTTCATCATACGAAATATTTTTTCTTGAGTATGTTCCAGGCGATTATCATTATAGCCTTGCATATCCAATAAACTTTTGCCATAAAAGTTTGAGCTTGGACAAGTCACATGAAGAAGTTTACAATTTTGCGTTTCAGAAGTCTCGTCATCACCTACTTTACATTTTGTCTCACCACAGAGTGTATTTATCGTGGAACTTTTACCAGAACCACTAACACCAAAAACTAGGTAAACTTCACGTGTAGATAAAGAGTTCATCTAAAAGACAACCGTAATTTCATAAGCCCGTGGTCAGCATCTATCGTTGTAATCTCAAGTGAATTTTTTAAGTAAGAAGATCCCTAATTGAGACGATTGCGATTGGAAAGTAATGAAAATTAGGGTTCCAATGAAAGTGGACTGTGACTCGTTTTCTTTTAATGTGGGATGAAAAACTTCGTATGTCATTTTTTGTCGACGCTACTACTGCATTTAGAATTGTAACAATATAAAAAAATGATAGCAATAATATGGATTGTAATCTCTTTTCTTAGCTGAAATTTATTTCGTTGATATGAGAAAAAACTTATCTTTTTCTAAAACATACAGGGAGAAAACGAAGTTCTATTTGGATTTTTTCTATTTAGTGATAAGAAGAAAGAGAATAGTTAGAAGAGTATCTTCAATCTGCTTTTTTCACGATGACGCTGCTACTCTTGGTTATGTAGCTTTTAGAAAGTGTTAAGTTTGGATCTGAATGAAATTGTGAGTATAAGTGTAGATGGAGTTAGGGTTGAGAGCAAGAATGGGATTTTATGTTGTATTTTAGTGATCGTAATCTTCACTTGGGTTTTATCAAAGTATCTAGAATACAGTTTCTATTGCTGAACATCGTCGACAACGAATACATGCTATTTCTTGAATCGGTACAGTATGAAGTACCGAACGAGAGATTATTCATAAAGGGTGTGGGTGGGTGTGGGAATCAGTGTAAGAAAAAAACAGACCAAATAGCCGCACCGACACCCACACACACCCTAGTAGGACGGTAGGGAAAAAATGATGAAACACAGGTCAATAGTCTATGGTTATTTGTGTACGCATATTCGTGATCAATAAGCGAGTAGAGAATATAGCTTATTGTATGTATTTCTCTTCTTCGTTTTTCTGTTTAGCATATAAAATTGAATAAAGGACAGGATAGTGAAAGAGGATAAAAAATGTTAGCGAACATGTCGTTGCATTCGTTTGAGATGAACTTTTTCGTCAAATTGGTTCATTTTTCAAGCACAATGTAAATCAACATACATATTTGATCATATGTAACCAATTGAAAAATAATGTTACAATTTATTTCAATCAAGAATTATTCAGTTATATGCAAATTATAACATCTAAAATTTGAATGAAATGTTTTTATTGAGTTAATTTTTCGGTTATAACTTTTAATTTTTTTATATGATAATTATGTAGTCTTTTCGGATCCATGTTAGATACTTTTGCTTTTTTTTTTATTACTGTTATGTATTTCGAGAGAATCAGTTGCGATAATCTTTTCATGGTTTTTCTAACGAGAAAACTAATAACACTATCTTGGGCAGAAGCCCAAATAGCATTCTTTTTTTGATTCATGTTTGTTTCAAAATCAACGGTCTCCTAGAAGTGCCATTTACTCGTCAGATACTGCAAATGAAAAAATTTTATTTGTATTCGTTACATGAAGAAACAGTTCTTCTCAGCGTTGCAAATAGTAGAGTTTTTTCCTTACTGATCTAAATCGGTCACTTCGGATCGACTGGTAGTCTGACATCAGTCATTTTTCGTTTCTCTTATCTTGTAGCAGTCAAGATAATCTCTTGATTAGTCATACTTCCTTTTGTACCACTGAAGAAATTACTCAAGACTTCCGATTCACTGTTATGGTGTTTCTGTGAAATACGATCGTTGACGAATATTGAAGAGTAGGACGTAAAAATTGATGTGATCTCTAACTTGATTCGAAGGCAGCAACAAACATGCATATGTTCATTCAGACTGACAGATTTCTGTATGTATGTAACGGCTTAACTAGTTTTTGCGACATATTGGTTTTTGGTTTCAATATAATCTTTCATATAGATGATGATGTTTCCTCAATGAGTAAAAAATAAAAACTTTGTATTTTAAGTATACTTCAAAAGTACATCAAGATTATTCTCGATAACTTAGGTGTTTCAAGTCTGCAATGAACACTTGTCACAAGCATATTAATTTGAGTTCATTTGGTAAAAGTCTGTCTGACACTAAAGTCTGAATAGTTTATTCTACGTCGAAATTTAAGTATTACTGAAGTTTAATGAAGTATTAGAGCTTTAGTGCCATATAGATTTATATAAAATGAACTTAAACTAAGATGATCATAGCATACAGTGATAGAAGACTTGAAATAGCTAAGATACTCGACAGAAAAGCTTTGACATACCTTTGAAGTATGCTGAAATACGAATTTTTCGCTGTTAGATCATAGATTCGAGAAAACAGCGAAAATAGCTCGGTTTTTTTTAAATATTTTTGTCATGTAACAATTGCTTTGAAAGCTTTTCTTTCACAATCTATCTCTAAACTTTCTCGCTTTTGACATTGATTGATGAATATAAATTTTCATTGAGCGACAAATTTCATATTAACTTGGTACATTAATGAAATATTCGGCAGAAACAGAAATTTTAAGTCAACTGTATATATACCCTACGTTACAACAGATTCATTTCGTTGTCTATTTTGTCTTTATGAAACATATGATATAAATAATACGAAATGAAGATAATTACATATTCAATGACACTAGCGAACAGTGATTTCAATATTTTGATAATATAACTTGATATCGAAGTGATTCGAGAGAGTCCATTAGACGTATTTTAATAAGTATTTACTAAAAAGAAATGATCTGATGCATGTTTCCAATAGATTTAATCACTGATGTCAATAAAGCTGATTTTATACTTGGAAAAACCACATTGGTGATCAATTAAGAAAAAGATGCAAAAACTCAAAAAATCTATATCCATTAGAAAGGAATTCTCTATGAAACTTGACTAAGTCTTTTCCAACACAAGTTTGTATACTTTTTAGCAATTCAATTGAATCAAGGCAAAACTTATAAAAGTTGAAGAATGTACTATAGTATGATTCTTCAATAGAATCGGTTCGCATTTTGTTGTTATGTGTGAACATACAGAACATGATGTTATCAAAGACATCGATTATACAAAGTATGTCGAAATCATCGTGTATATATATGCTTTTTATATCGATAATTCAATTATAAACTTTTTATATGTAGAATCAGCAAAAGTTTAGCTAGAATTTTGCTCTTTTCATTTCGGTTTCTGTTCGACATATTCAATATGATACAAGCAAACTTGTGAATAATAAAACGTTAAAAACAAAGAGGTAGATTTACTCAAAATTATGTTTATTTAATAAAGATTCTTAAATTTATTTTTGCTTTTCCTTAGAAAAAAAATGTCAGGAAAAAAGCAAAAAAACATAAAACATGATTTTTGTATACATGTATATAGTATAATAGAAACAAAATAATTATTCTATTTTCACGTAAAATGATAAGTAAATTGGAAGTGCTACCAAATGAACTCTTTGTACAAATATTTTCTTATTTATCATGGGATGAAATTTTAATATTATTATGGTTATTAAGTAAACGAATCAATTCTTGAGGGTGTGGATGTAGTTATGTGGGTGTGGTGGATAACAAGAACCATCTCATACCTACACCCAAACTGCCGAAAACAAAGTAGAATCAGCATAAAAAGTGTGTAGTTGTGCTCTTTGTTCAAAAAAAAATTTGAATGAGCTTCTAGTGTTTTTGTTGGACATTTTTATGTCAGAAGATGCAGTTTTTCGCGGACTTTATGTTGATGTCATAAAATTTATGGTGCCTCCCCCCCAATTTTGGATCACCTGGTTCGAAATACTTTTAAGAAACGTGAAAAAAATGAGAAAAAATGCTTCATTTTTCCAGTAAAAAAATACATTGTTGGCTCTTTTTTTCCATATAATGGTTTTTGTGAGAAAGTCGAGAAATACATGGTCCGACAGAAGAAGACATGTTCTTTCTAATATATTAAAGTCATTATTATATTAACGGTCGAAATAATGGGGTTATTTTATGCTATATTAAAAAGTACGCAAACCTGATTATTTTTTATTTTACTTTCATAAAGCTTTTATAAGGCATGCTATCATAGTATACCTCATAGTTCAGCAATGGATTGTCAGATCAGTCTAATATTTTGGATTTCGTACTATCACTATAAGACCTTTCTTTTAAGATTATTAAATCTAAAATAAGAAATTTTTCTTCAGCTAGGTTCTTAACAGAGTAAAAATTTTGTTCGAAGTGAGTTGATAGAAAAAAATAGTAAATAAATTTGAAGTTTATTTAACATATTTATATGATAACAAGAACGAAAATCATTTCCATTGCAGATAAATATCATCAACTATGCGTTTAATTGTATAATCTGTCAACAAATTTTCCGCATTAATCATTCTGTTCAATTTTTCAATAATATCATTATCTGCTACCTTAACACAAGAACATAATAATCGAAGTTGATGATTAAATTTCATATTAATTTTCGTTAAAATCACTCGTACAAACAATTGAATATTGATATGATGTAAAAACTCTACTTTCAGATATGTCATCCGAGGACAAAGTTCAATAAGAAAATCAATTTCTTCCATTTTTGTTATTTTCTTCAGATAAACTTTTGTAATCTGATTTTGAGATGATAACAAAGAAAGAACATTAATATCTTTATTATTCATATAGATTGGATTTGAATATAATAAAGAAGAAATCTGTAGTGAATCAAGTTCAGGTAATAAAACTAATATTTCCATCAATGTATCCGTAAAAATTTCTTCATTAATTTCCAAATGATATATATCTGCTACAGTTGATATATGAGAAATAATTTGTTTTAATGGCTTCATATCATCATAATAAGGAATAATTGTAAAAAGAACTCGCATCGATTTCAAAAATTTATTCGATGGATCAATTATCTGATCTTGTGACTGATATTCATACCATCTTTTTCTAAGAAAAAACAAAAAAGTCATATTTGAATGTTAAAACTTTTCTTTCTATACTTATATGGATGAATTGAATAAATAATAATATCAAGACTGATTTCAGCTTGTAATAACCATTGTCGATCAATCCAAAATAATGAATTGAATGTATTTAATTTATTAATATACAATGGAGTTTTGCGAGTAGATTCTAAAAATATCGAAAATATTAAATGAAATTTTTCTAATTGAGGAAAATTTTTCATAATTAATTCCTTCCAACAATCCGCATTAAGATAATTTATATCTTTAGCAAGACTTTTAACAGATAAAACTTTTAATTTTGCATCGATTTTTGTAATAAACATTTGAACTTTATCAAATTGAAGATGATCACCATAGATAGATAAATGTGTTAAATTTGATAACATGATTGGTGAAATCATATCAGTTTTAAATGTACTATACCCTTTATGTATAAAACTCAAACGAGTTATTTGTGGTGTATAAGAAATAATTGAAAAAAGTTCGTTAAGTGCACATGGATGATCAATAACAAGATGTTTGATAGTACTGAATTGATTATTAATATTAATTGGTAAGGAAACAGTTACATTAGTATCATTGGGTTCCATTGCAAAGAATCTGAGATATTGCAATTTTGGTAAATCAAATATTAATCGATACACATGGATTAAATCGTGGAAAGTTCTTTGGGTGTCAAAAGTTAAGGAAAATAATCGAGGTAAATGAATTAATTTGGAAAGAAGTGAGGTTAAAATAATTGGTTCAATTGAATCAAAAACAAGAGATTCAAGACGATTAAATGAACAATCAATGTTTAGGAATGAGATCATTTGATGGTGTACTAATGATGAGAAATGTATGGATAGGATTTGATTCTTATGAAAAAGAAGAATTTCTTTATAGTTTTTAATAAATCTTTCTTTCGATGTTGAACAAAATGTGATTTTGAATAGAAGGGATGATGAATTGAGAAGTTTTTCAAAACGAGAATTAAGATTCGAAAATGTTTGATAAATATTACAGCCATCAAGATAGTCGAAGATTTCATAGAAGATTTCATTAGACAAATTTTCAATTGACATTTCTGTTTGATCAATTTCATCTAATATTGGAAGAATAGGAATCATTCTCGATTTAAATCTATGAATATCTCTTACTTCTTATTCTCTTCGTTGTTACTTGTGAAGATTGGTTAGAATTTAATTTTCGTTTATCTTTGTTCATCTCTTTGATTGAAGATTTAATATGATCTAGAAAAAAATGTTCAGTATTTTTATTAATGAAACAGACTGATTAGATTTGATGAAGTAATAAGATTTGAAAATTTTTGTGAAACACAAACTATAAGGATGATTGATGTATAGGAGAGATAAAACATCGGACCGAGTTTGATATATGTAACATGGAAAATTGTCAAATTTTTTATCAATTGATTCTATCCGAATTGAATATGTACATCTTTACAGAATATCTTCTATGAATCATGGTTTCTATTTAACATTATTTCTATTGAAAATCAATTTTGTCAATTATACATTTAATTGTAAAATCAAAAAGTAGTCTCAATTCATATTGAGACTTCTTTCCAATGTTTTTAACCATTTTATTATCTGCTGTTGGAACACAGAAACATAATGAGCAATGATTATCTTCATCTTCATCCATAATTAATCTTACAAATATCTCGTATAAAATAATTTCACATCAATATTATTAATACAATCTATTTGAAGATAGTTTATACAAGAACAAAGTTCATTGAAAATATAAACTTCATCGATTTTATTGAACTTTTCCAATTGTATTCGTATCTAATATCCAATTAAGCAACATGTATCTCATCACTACGTAAATATTTAGATTCAGTTAATGAAAGAAGTTTAGGTAGTGTGAAACAGGTTCAATACCACGAATTAATAAGTCATCAGGTGGATTATATAGAGATGTAAGTTGAACAGATTCATATCACATTGTACTATGAAGAAAAGATGATCATTTATTCAAGAGAGTAAAAGCTTTTGTTGATCTATACCAATATGGTCGAATACTTGTTGAATTCAAAATGAAGAAGAGAATCGATTTCGTTCACGAAGGTATATCAAAAATTGATTTTCATAATCACTATATTGATAATATTCGAAATAAAATTCTTCTAATTGTAGTAAATATTTAAAAATGAATTTTTCCCAACAATGAGCATCAACACAGTCAATATCATCAGAACGAGTAGTAAAAGTAAAAATTCATCAAATTTCACATGAAAAACACATATCGAACGATATGTCAGATTTGACAAAGCAACTGGAAAAATAATTTCAATACCTAAACCAGTGTCGTCTGCTTGCGTCAAATCGAGATGTATGAGAAATTCTAGCAGCAAGTTCTTCAAAAGTATAACAAGGATTAAGAATAATATTTAAACTTTAGTAAAGTGAAAATGATCTGGACAAAGACGTGGTACAGAGATTGAAGTTGAAAGGGTAACAAAAAAAAGATAATTGCTGCTGAAGAATTCTCAACATACAGGATCGATTTTCGAGATGTTTTTGTCTAGTTTCTTATTAGGTAGGTTTTTATCATCATTGTACCTGCTTTCTGTTTCGAAATTTGACGAGAATCAGAAAGAATTATTGAAAAATAACAACATACCAGATCAAAATCGGATATCATAAGATGGATTTTTCTTTTTATGACTTACAATTCTTGATTAAGGTTGAATTTACTTACAGAAATTTCTCTGTTTCTTTTTCGTTGGAAGATCGATTGTTCTCTATGACTTGAGTCATGTCACGTATCTAAAAATTGAAAATGGCTTAAAAGAAACATATAAATGATTCATATATACATATACAATATAAATATTTGTTAGTCATTCTTTATCCGAGAAACAGACTAGTCTAATTTGCTTGCACTTAACTGGCGAAGTAATGATATTTTCTCTATTTGGTGGATACCCACAGCCTGATGACACATCCAATCAATATTAAATATATACATTTGAGGACGCTACATATTTTATCCCTGTTTTTTCAGTCAAGATTGAGGACTTTCAACCTCAAATAATATAAAAAGGACTCAGTAGATGATCGACTACCTAACTCTGAGGTAAATTTCGAGAGTTAACTTTCCATACGTAAGATATGCTATAAAGACGCCAGCATGATCCCATTTTTGGTGATGTTTTCTATCATTACTTGCTACTTTTTTTTAAACAAATCGACGAGTATATATCAAGCCCTGTCAGATATATCAAACGACCAATCATAAAGCACTTGCTATTGTTTCGTCTATTTATCATATTTCTTTAGCTGGACGTTCATATACCGTATAGATGGAATATCTTTAATGAATCATGAACTATTTTATATTTTGTTTAAACTATTTTTTTCAAATTTTTGACTAACAAGTTTGACTCTTTTTGCAAATATTCATTCAACTATGTATATTAAGAATAAAAAAATGAGAGCTCTGTCCACATGGATAGTTCGAATAGAACAAAGAAGATAATTTGTAAGTAGATGTAAAAGAATGAAGATCAGAAGTAGATTTGCCAGAAAAAAAGGCCACCAGTCAAAGTTCGAACAAAACTTCCTACAATTATGTAATTTTTCATAGGTAATTAGGTCGATATTCTAAATGTACAACAGCGGAGATAAGCGGATCATTCTTCTGCCGATATCTGACTCACTTTCTAGTCACTCGATCATCTACATGGTGGATTGTATATAAGATATGGTATATACAATCACTTCTATAAGACCATGTTTATCATTAACCTTTTAAATGTTAAAGTTTTTTTCGAAACTACCTAGCACGCTTTTTGCAAAATAATTTGTATAAATTCATAGATATTTAATGTCTTTATTGACAAGAATTTATTCGATATGCGTAATTTGTCCCACAGGCATTTTCTCTATGAGTTGACTATTTTCATATCTTGATCATTTTTTCCTTTAATGTAGGTCACGTCAATGTGGAGATTATCCTGGAAATAATACGATTATTAGAGTAGCAACAATGAATTTACAGATAGTATTTAAAAAGTAGATATACATTGAATATGAATTATGACACAGCGGACACAGCGAAACATAGTCAATATGGGTCTTGAGAATCGCTAGAGAGAGCTCGAGTCAGTACGCAGTGTTGAAGTCGATACAGAGCATACAAAGAAAATAGAGTTAAGGATTTGTAGTCTTCAATTAACTGTTAAGAAATTAAGAAAATCTAAAAATTACAATTTGTATTAGAAATTCACGAGACAGCTAAAAGGTCATTCCGCAACCGAACTGTTTCGCCCGCCCCATCGAAGAAGTAATTTGACAGATTTACGATTTATCCTGGCGGCCCACCCACAGTTTGTGTAAAAAGCAGAAAAAAGAGGAGTATAGTTTTGGCTTATAACATGTCAACAAGGGCTCATATAAAAAGTTGAAAATCGATAAAATTAGTTTTTTTTTTATCTGCATTCAATTCTAACTGAACAAACTTGCAAAATGAAGAAGGCTCGTACTCGTTGGCAGTTACGGTCGTGCAATTTTTGTTTTGCGGATCTTGGAAAGAGAAGATTACGAAAAAGTTTTCTGTTGTGATATCTCATTAACTGCATACATACAGACAAAAAAGGAGATTAAAAATACATTCAATATCAAAATCCGTTTAGTTTTCAATAGCACATGAACAGAAAGAATTGAAACATATGAAAAAGAAATAAAAGTATTGTTGCTGCTCAAATTGATTGTAATTGTATGTGATGGATGATTATGTTGTTCATGACAGAAGAAACGGGTAAAAGGAAATATATTTGTAGGGGAGAGAATTATAGACAAAATGAACTTGGTAAAAAACTTCATATATTGTTCTTGCGACTCTGTGGCAAAACGTTTAGTATAAATACCAAAAATTTTTCTTGTAGATTCAACAGTTATATTCGCAATCCATTTCGAAAGTTAGAAAAAATTGTTTTATATTCAGTTGTCATTCGATAATACAAGTGAATGACATAAAAGAAAACATTTTGCATACCTGAGTATGGTGGAATTAAACTTTCACCGTGTTCAATCGAATTTGGCTAACAAATGACGAAATCAGGACAGCTTTCAAGGATTCGTATACTATGTATGACAATGTTTCATTTCTCAACAAAGAAAAGAGCTAATTCAAAGCCCATATATGGCTTTGTTTTTTTCTATAGATATTGGTAATAATAGAGTAAAACGAATCGCTGAAATATCTAACTATGGGTAGTTGACATGTTTGGAAGATTACCCTTCGAATATTGTCCGATCTATCTCATGAAAGGTTTTGCTGCCTAGTCATTTTACTTTACAGATCAGTTCGAAATTGTTTTTTATCATGTAGTCTGATTAATAATTACAAATACAGTATTTTGGAAAGGCAAAGGCAATGCTAAATATACGAAAATGAAGCTGAATTTTTCATGTATTAGAAAATATCAATTTTTAGTGTGAAATATTTTATTTGATTTCTTTTTCAATAGAAAAAATAATCTAGAAAAATTAAAAGTCCCATTTTTATGAGCAATTCAACGCGTTTTATCCAATCATACTAAAATTATTTGAAAAACAATTTGACTTCAAATTTGAAT